TTTTTCATTGAAAGACCGGATTCAAACAATTTATTATGTCTATAAGGCTAACAACTGTATACTATACCATTACAAGCGATGTCTTCAGTTTGTAACTAAAGGTATTTTTGGTTACAAATAAAGGTGATCTACTATGTCACTGAATAAGGATTAAAGATGGTTCGTCAAAGAAAAGATTTCTCTTTAACAGCCTCTTAAATATGATCAAATACCCCCTAAAGCATAAAATATTAAAAAATTTACTGCATCATATAAAGACTAACTTCCGTTTTGAATTGGTATCTTCATTGTCAAGTGACTGCTTTATTTTTAAGATACATAGCATACTACTTAATTAGTTGGAAGTAACCTAAAAGTAAAGCTAATAATTTTTGCAGTCAGTGTTACTAGACATGATAGAACAAAATACAATTTAAATTTCTCTGAATAATATATTTTAGGCATGTAGTAGTATCACTGAGCATTCAAACGTGTCTAAAAATGGCTAGAAACTAAAAGCTAATCGCTTGTCAGAAATGGTTGAAGAAGAAATCAGGTGATTATGGTTACTTTAATTCACCTTTGATTATGCAATCACACTCAAATGAAATCTGTCTGTAAACTGATAATTCAAACAATTCGTCTAATCAGAAAGTAAATTTTTACTTAAATGCATTGATACTGAATACTTATACTTCTCAGACTTGTAAATGCATGTGATAGTAAATAATTGGTAGGGTAAATTTTTAATTGCAGCAATCAACCTTTAACATTTTTATTTACTACAAAGCTTGTGTGACTCACTCATAATTCGAATGTTATCAAAACTAAATAAAATAAAAAAATACTGTAATTTGGACGTCTGTTTGATGCAGAAGAACGAAACTTCTCACAATTTGTGGATAGGTCCTACCACTGACTGTTATATATAATAATCATGTGCCGGACAGATGTTCTGTACTAGTTTCTAAAACCTCAGAAGTATGCTCACAGGACACAAAATCAGTTTGACCCTAAATCCCCGAGTATCATGATATGCGCTAAATAAATGAATCACATCTTAAATATCATCCACTGTGTAATGCAGAGTTATTCTCATCCAGTAGCGTAGATGAGTTACATAATCAATGTCGACGGGTATAAAATACGGTCTTCGACCATATTTTCCGGAAATTTATCTTTGAGATATTTGCATATGATTGAATAGTTTTTATCTACACGAACTGTGCCTTACCCAATAAAGTAAGAAAATGAATAATAGTAATAAAAAATTACTGTCTTTTACACATTTACTATCTAGATCTTAATCTTAATTTACTACGTTTAGTTGAACGGGATTAAGAAGTAATAATGGAAAGAATTGCGGTCATTATTATTTTAATTAAATATAACCATAGAATACTATTACTTAAATTATGATTTATCAAGTGATTTCTGGCAAATGAGAATATTTTTATATCTCCATAACGAAACTTTAAATATTTATTGCAACTGTTTGGAAGTTACCTCGATAAGAAAGTGAAGATAAGTGAGAGAAGAACATTTGTTCCAATTTCTGAAATGTTTTTAGCTTACAAAACAAGTGAGCTTACACAAATGTTCTCCTGACAAGGAATGCTTACTTGCTCACTTACTTACACCTGTTACTCCCAATGAAGCATGGGCCACCGATCAGCACTCTTCAACTCACACTTTCATGTGCCTTTCTTTCTAGTTCCATCCAATCGTTGTTCATTTTTCTCATGTCTATCTCCATTTCTCGACGTAATGTGTTCTTTGCTCTTCCTCTCCTCCTTTGGCATTGAGCATTCCAAGTGACAGCTTACCTTTTGACATAGTTAGGTTTTTCCTCAATGTGAGTCTTATCCACTTCCAGTAATTCTTCGTGATTTCTTGTTCCACTGGAATTTGGTTTGTTCTCTCCTATAGTAGGTCGTTGTTGATAATGTCTGGCCAATGGATCCGAATTATTTTGAGTAGACGGCTGTTAATAAACACTTGTATGTTCTGGATGATGGCTTTCGTAGTTCTCCAAGTTTCCGCCATATACAGTGGAACTGTCTTAACACTTGTGTTCAAAATTCTGAAGTTAGTGCTGAGGCTACTGCTACATTGGTCGTTTTCTCCTACATTTGTTGTTGCGTGTGCGATGGAAGAGCTAGTTTGAATTTTGATTAGATGGATAAATAGCGCAGATGCCTTTATGGAAAACAAACGTTTTGTTAATAATACGGTATGAAATTATTTTTGTCCGTACAATAAGTTGCTTAGCCTTCGTAAACGTTAAAATGAATAGCACTGGAATACATGAACTACACATTTAGTAGGATACATTCAACACTTCAAATTATGGCTGACTGGAGACCCAGTAAACTAACATTCATTTCTCTCTGAAAAATTATCCAGTACTCTTCTTGTACATATCTTCTTTTGCTCTAAATTGTCACAACCTACAATTATCTGAGGTAATTAATATTTTCTTATATATTTTAATTTACTATTAACCTTACTCATTATTTCCTACTTAATCCATGTTATTTCATCCAATTTTTACGTTTTAATGTGCACATCTTAAATAATGGCTTGTAATTTTCATTTTTCAATACTGCAACTGTTTTATGCTCTAGTAAATATCACTTTACTCATGTTCACCATTAGAATCATGAAGTTATTGTGCATTATTAAGAAAACATCTTAAAACTAAGATGAATAGTATGTGTTCATCTATTGACAGAAAGTTCAATTACAGTCCCATAGTTCACCGATTTACTTACAAGCTTATGACTAAATATAAACCACATGACATTTGTTTGATCAATGGATTTTGATAAGCTCACTACTGGTTTTAAGCTTAACCAAGTCACATTTGATACAACATTTTTTGGTCACGTGGCTTAGCAAGTCAGTAGCCTGAATCACAAGTTCCTCTGCTAGTCAAAATAAGTGCAAATGTTTTTTGAAACAGAGATTCCGAAAGTAGGTATCTCAGTTCAAAGTAAGACCTTGTGCCAACGATCCATTTGGGTTTCGTTATCCCAAAAACATGACAACACCAAGCCTGCCAATAGATGTATTAAAAAGTTTTGATTAACGATAGGCTTCAGCAGTGATCAGGAAGTAACATTCGAAAATATGAAACTGTTCACAGCGCGTCATTTATTTAGGTCAAAGTAAATCAATGCTTTTCACGTAATAATTTCTATCCTATTTTCTAAGTCTAATAAAGTTGACTTTTAAAACAAGCGATATTCTATGAGTTACTGTACTTAGAAAACCGATTCGTATGCAACAAGCATGTTATTAGGACCGATAATTATTTGGACATTTCAGGGTACTATATTTACTTAACTGAAGAAAATGTAACTTCTCTGGAATCTAGTTATAGAATAGCAAATATACTTCAATATCTCAGAATTATTTTCAACATTTGTTTAACAATCCTTTAACCTGATTATTTTTCGGATGATTAATTTGAATATATAATTATAGAACCTGAAAAGAATCTATCGAAAAGAATATTCGTCGTCCAAATATTAGTCTTTTAATATGATGGGGATCTTTAAACGATTAACATTAGTAACTACCAAAAATATACTTAAAACGTATATAAAGTTCTTACAACATTGATAGTTTTTATACCTTAAAAATATGATCAATATTATTATAAATAAAAGTCTATTAAAATTAGTTTCTAGGCAGATTATCTGTCATTGTAAAATAGTTCAATTAATTTTAATAATTTATTATATTTATTAAAAGTAATTGGATGAGACTATAATTTATGGACGGCCTATGAGTGACACTAACAATCTCTTGAAAATGTCAACCTAAGTACTACAGTTAAATAAGGGTTATAAACCAGTTTGAGGAATTAGAATTAATATTTATAGTTGATAGCTAGGGTCAGGAATTGGATATAGAGTATTCATCACCAACTGAGATCAGATATAACACAAAAACTTTTTGGAAGCAATGATGGATAGTGGCTAGCAGTGGAATCCAAGACGCGCGTTTCATCCCATTTGGGACTTGTCAGCTGGATGTACCTACATCTCAGAGCTGATGTTCACTATGAGACTCGAACGCCATCGAGTTATCCACTCAGCTACTGAGTCCTGATAGCCACTTGTTTGTGCAATGGGGTGAATTTAAATTCACTTGATATTGTTTTGCTTGTATTGAGTTTTAAGACGAAACGCAAGTCCTGGATTCCACTGCTAGCCACTATCCATCATTGCTTACAAAAATGATCAGGACGTTTTAATCAAATTTATTAAATATTTAAAACTCAATTTTATTGAATAATACATTTATTTTTGTTGTTTAAGTAACATCAGAAAAACAAACAAAATAAGCATAAAACTAATTAATAATTAATTAAACATTAAAAAAATTTCTTTTTCTTTTTTCCTTTTTCTTTTTTTAATTACACTTTATAACTGAACGACAATTACTTCATATGAGTTCAGAGAGAAAAAAATCAAAAAATATATCGGTTATTGATCACAAAACAAAAAAAAGGGAAATTTTTCTGGTTTTTACAGAAAAGGATGATAATAATTCCTTAAAAGTATTTTCTTACAAAAAAAAGAAATTTGACAATAAACAAAAGCTTAGAGTAGAAAAAAATGTTCTAATAATTAATGATTAGTTATTTTCTTTATGGGATAAATAAAGAGAAAAAGAAATTTAGTTTAAATGTTTAAATTAACATTTTAAGTGATTATTACTATATAACTTCAATCTGGAATGTATGTACTATCTAATGATATGCAAAATTTATAATAAACCCTTCATTAAATCTATGTACGTATTTAGTATTTATCATATTACTATTATTATTATAAGTAGTACTCGTCAAAGTTTGAAATTTTATTAGAGATGACTGAAAATACTATCGATGAAGTAAAACGAAATTTCAACTTAATGTAATGTAATATAAAATTAATATGTAATTTTGGGTTTACAGTTTTATTTTTGCAAACATAAAGAAATATATAGAGATATTAAATCATTTAATCCTAATTTTCATCAATATATTTCCATGCTTTTGAACTTATACTGGGTTTGTTCATACTTATCTCTTGATAATGAGATGTGGTTTCATTATTTTTAACAAAATTATTAGTATTTATAGAAGGAGTATCTGGAAATTCATCTTCTTTATCATGAGTATGTTCAACATAATTTAATATATTTTGATTTGTTTGGTTTTTTCTATCACCGCTATCATTGCTTTGTCTACGCCATGCACCAGTTAATATAACATCATTATCTAAATTCGATGTTAAACAGAGACGTTCAGAGTTGGGAGATTTAAAAGTAAAACCACAATCACATGAAGAACAATCATCAGTGGAAAGTAAAGCTTCATGAGCTAATATTTTAGCTTTTATATGTTGTTTTCTTCGTAGTTCAAGACGTTTTTGTATTGCTGGTGTTTTCATTGAATTAGTAGATCTATTACTTTTGCTTTCATTAACTATTCCTTCTACAGCTGTAAATGAATCATGTGTACTGTTTCTGGATTGAAATCTATTTTTTTCTAGGGAGGTATTTTGTACATTGTTATCGTTTTCTTCAATATGTGACAGGGTTATACTACCAGAATATTTATTACGTCGATGACGAATCCAAATGAGAACAAGAATTGAAGACAGAACTAACATAATAACCAGAATACATAATAGAATGAAACCAATTGTTAAACCATATTTAAATTCAAGCCGATTATGCTCATGAATATAAGGTCCACTAATATGTATGTTAATATTTCTGTTCCTTGGAATGTCAGTTGAAAACACATGCGGAGAAACTTTATCATTATTCTCCACAATTTCATTTCTAGAAGATTTAATAATTCCTCCAACTGCACTACGATCAAAATGAAAATCATTATCAAGAGAAACGGTGTAACCGATCGTTGACATAAGTAAACTATCAATCACTGACACATCTGCAGTTGGAGCTGGAGAGACAGTCGTCACTTCCTCGGATACTGGGGTTTCTGGACTCGAGTCCTGAATCACTGACACATCTGCAGTTGGAGCTGGAGAGACAGTCGTCACTTCCTCGGATACTGGGGTTTCTGGACTCGAGTCCTGAATCACTGACACATCTGCAGTTGGAGCTGGAGAGACAGTCGTCACTTCCTCGGATACTGGGGTTTCTGGACTCGAATCCTGAATCACTGACACATCTGCAGTTGGAGCTGGAGAGACAGTCGTCACTTCCTCGGATACTGGGGTTTCTGGACTCGAATCCTGAATCACTGACACATCTGCAGTTGGAGCTGGAGAGACAGTCGTCACTTCCTCGGATACTGGGGTTTCTGGACTCGAGTCCTGAATCACTGACACACCTGCAGTTGGAGCTGGAGAGACAGTCGTCACTTCCTCGGATACTGGGGTTTCTGGACTCGAGTCCTGAATCACTGACACATCTGCAGTTGGAGCTGGAGAGACAGTCGTCACTTCCTCGGATACTGGGGTTTCTGGACTCGAGTCCTGAATCACTGACACATCTGCAGTTGGAGCTGGAGAGACAGTCGTCACTTCCTCGGATACTGGGGTTTCTGGACTCGAGTCCTGAATCACTGACACATCTGCAGTTGGAGCTGGAGAGACAGTCGTCACTTCCTCGGATACTGGGGTTTCTGGACTCGAATCCTGAATCACTGACACATCTGCAGTTGGAGCTGGAGAGACAGTCGTCACTTCCTCGGATACTGGGGTTTCTGGACTCGAATCCTGAATCACTGACACATCTGCAGTTGGAGCTGGAGAGACAGTCGTCACTTCCTCGGATACTGGGGTTTCTGGACTCGAATCCTGAATCACTGACACATCTGCAGTTGGAGCTGGAGAGACAGTCGTCACTTCCTCGGATACTGGGGTTTCTGGACTCGAGTCCTGAATCACTGACACATCTGCAGTTGGAGCTGGAGAGACAGTCGTCACTTCCTCGGATACTGGGGTTTCTGGACTCGAGTCCTGAATCACTGACACATCTGCAGTTGGAGCTGGAGAGACAGTCGTCACTTCCTCGGATACTGGGGTTTCTGGACTCGAGTCCTGAATCACTGACACATCTGCAGTTGGAGCTGGAGAGACAGTCGTCACTTCCTCGGATACTGGGGTTTCTGGGCTCGAATCCTGAATCACTGACACATCTGCAGTTGGAGCTGGAGAGACAGTCGTCACTTCCTCGGATACTGGGGTTTCTGCACTCGAGTCCTGAATCACTGACACATCTGCAGTTGGAGCTGGAGAGACAGTCGTCACTTCCTCGGATACTGGGGTTTCTGGACTCGAATCCTGAATCACTGACACATCTGCAGTTGGAGCTGGAGAGACAGTCGTCACTTCCTCGGATACTGGGGTTTCTGGACTCGAGTCCTGAATCACTGACACATCTGCAGTTGGAGCTGGAGAGACAGTCGTCACTTCCTCGGATACTGGGGTTTCTGGACTCGAGTCCTGAATCACTGACACATCTGCAGTTGGAGCTGGAGAGACAGTCGTCACTTCCTCGGATACTGGGGTTTCTGGACTCGAGTCCTGAATCACTGACACATCTGCAGTTGGAGCTGGAGAGACAGTCGTCACTTCCTCGGATACTGGGGTTTCTGGACTCGAGTCCTGAATCACTGACACATCTGCAGTTGGAGCTGGAGAGACAGTCGTCACTTCCTCGGATACTGGGGTTTCTGGACTCGAGTCCTGAATCACTGACACATCTGCAGTTGGAGCTGGAGAGACAGTCGTCACTTCCTCGGATACTGGGGTTTCTGGACTCGAGTCCTGAATCACTGACACATCTGCAGTTGGAGCTGGAGAGACAGTCGTCACTTCCTCGGATACTGGGGTTTCTGGACTCGAGTCCTGAATCACTGACACATCTGCAGTTGGAGCTGGAGAGACAGTCGTCACTTCCTCGGATACTGGGGTTTCTGGACTCGAGTCCTGAATCACTGACACATCTGCAGTTGGAGCTGGAGAGACAGTCGTCACTTCCTCGGATACTGGGGTTTCTGGACTCGAAGTCCTGAATCACTGACACATCTGCAGTTGGAGCTGGAGAGACAGTCGTCACTTCCTCGGATACTGGGGTTTCTGGACTCGAGTCCTGAATCACTGACACATCTGCAGTTGGAGCTGGAGAGACAGTCGTCACTTCCTCGGATACTGGGGTTTCTGGACTCGAGTCCTGAATCACTGACACATCTGCAGTTGGAGCTGGAGAGACAGTCGTCACTTCCTCGGATACTGGGGTTTCTGGACTCGAGTCCTGAATCACTGACACATCTGCAGTTGGAGCTGGAGAGACAGTCGTCACTTCCTCGGATACTGGGGTTTCTGGACTCGAAGTCCTGAATCACTGACACATCTGCAGTTGGAGCTGGAGAGACAGTCGTCACTTCCTCGGATACTGGGGTTTCTGGACTCGAGTCCTGAATCACTGACACATCTGCAGTTGGAGCTGGAGAGACAGTCGTCACTTCCTCGGATACTGGGGTTTCTGGACTCGAAGTCCTGAATCACTGACACATCTGCAGTTGGAGCTGGAGAGACAGTCGTCACTTCCTCGGATACTGGGGTTTCTGGACTCGAGTCCTGAATCACTGACACATCTGCAGTTGGAGCTGGAGAGACAGTCGTCACTTCCTCGGATACTGGGGTTTCTGGACTCGAGTCCTGAATCACTGACACATCTGCAGTTGGAGCTGGAGAGACAGTCGTCACTTCCTCGGATACTGGGGTTTCTGGACTCGAGTCCTGAATCACTGACACATCTGCAGTTGGAGCTGGAGAGACAGTCGTCACTTCCTCGGATACTGGGGTTTCTGGACTCGAGTCCTGAATCACTGACACATCTGCAGTTGGAGCTGGAGAGACAGTCGTCACTTCCTCGGATACTGGGGTTTCTGGACTCGAGTCCTGAATCACTGACACATCTGCAGTTGGAGCTGGAGAGACAGTCGTCACTTCCTCGGATACTGGGGTTTCTGGACTCGAGTCCTGAATCACTGACACATCTGCAGTTGGAGCTGGAGAGACAGTCGTCACTTCCTCGGATACTGGGGTTTCTGGACTCGAGTCCTGAATCACTGACACATCTGCAGTTGGAGCTGGAGAGACAGTCGTCACTTCCTCGGATACTGGGGTTTCTGGACTCGAGTCCTGAATCACTGACACATCTGCAGTTGGAGCTGGAGAGACAGTCGTCACTTCCTCGGATACTGGGGTTTCTAGACTCGAGTACTGAATGTCTGGCGCGTCTGCGGTTTTAAGTAAGTCTTCATTTATTTCTTCGTTGTTAATCGATTTTTGTTTCGTTTTGTTCGAATCATCTGTCGCATCCTCCTTGTTTGTTTTGCTTTCATCTGTTTTTTGTTCGTTTTCTGTTATCCTTCTGTCTTCTAATTTTTCTTTTTCATTCTCATTAGTTTCATCTTTTGATGGTGTGTCTTTTTCATGATCATCATCCTTATTATATTCTTTTATGATATTTTTCATTTTCTCATGGTTTTCTTCATCTGTATTTATGTCTTTTTTAATCCTATTTATTTTGTATTTATTGTTTATTTTTATTTGTTTTTGATTATTTTTTTGCGTGTTGTTTCTGTTTATATTTTTTGTACTTGATGAATATGCATTGAATGCTTCTGAATCAATATTACTTGCTGAACGTTTTCGTCTATATTTTTTACTTATTGATATTCTATTATTATTTGTTAATAATTTATTTTTATTTTTTATGTTTATTTCTTTCTTTGTTAAATTTTTCCCTAAATTATTGTTACCAAGTACTTCATTGAAACTTTGTTCTTCACCAATTAATTGATCGATTTCATTATCATATTCCTCTTCTTTATTGATTTTCATATTTGACACTTTTGTTATTGAATGATCAGTATTCATTTCTGTTAAATTAATAATTTTCTGAATATAATAATCATCTAAATGATCAATTGATCGATTTTCTTTATCATCCAAATTAGTTATCATATTCTTTATGATTAAATTATTCAATATAGTATCCTTGTTTATACTAAGTAGTAAATGTATAAAGGATTGATTATTAAACATTTTTAATAATGATAAATCTTTCATATTATTATCATTATTTAAATCAATAATCAATTGTGTAAAATTTTTATTGAATAATTGATTTTTAATTATTTCATTAGATATTAGATTACGTAATAAGATTTCATTATTTATATTTTTATTAATAATAAATTTACCTTTAGAATGGTTTAGTTTATCATTTAATTCTTTTATTCTAAATATTACAGAACATTCTTTATGATTACATGAATTGTCAATAAATTGATTTTGTTTTAATATAATTGAATTATTGATTTTTTGATTGAAATTATTATTTTTTAATGAATAATTACTTTCTTCATTATTATTATTATTATTATTATTATTCATAAGGTTATTTATTGTATTAAATGTTTGTATTGAAGCAATATCTTTAAATAATAATAATAATTGGTTATAATTATCATTAATGATATTATTAGTAGGAATAATTTCTCCCTTATTATTATTATTATTATTATTATTATTATTATTATTATTTAATTGTTTATCATTTAGATTGGATAATGTTTCATTATGTTGATTTAAGGTTTTGTTCATCATAGGTAATGAATGAATACTTATATGAAATAATAAAAATAATACTATCGTTATTATGATCATTATTTCAATGGATTTTGTTTTTGTTTTATTTTAATCCAAGAATTATTGTAAATGAAAATGTATCAATTAGTACTTTAATTTATAAAATAGTTGTATGAATATTATTAGACTTTTTTAAAATCCATGTTAATGTTATTAGAGATTGTCAAATGAAAGACTAAGTCCATATCTGTTAGTTCACACTATTTGTTTAGTATTACATCACTCATTATATATATATACATATATTGGATGATATGAACATGTTCTACCAATAAACTTTATCTTCTATATCTATCTATACAATGCGTGGGTACAGATAAATAAGGATAAGTTTGATATATATCAAGTCTGTTTCTTTATATAAGTATAAATATGCAAACCGAATTGGACAAATAGTTTTCTCGTACATTTTGTACTTCTATCATCGTTTTTTTGTGTGATTTTATGTATGTATGCAAACATGTATGTACACCTATTGGTGTATTTGTGATAAACATCTAAAAATTTGATAAAAGCATCATTTTCATATATGGTGTAAATTTCACTCATTTAGTATTATATTTATTAATAAGGATAATTTGCATGTGAAAAAGTGTGAGATAGTCATCAACACGAGGGAGACAAGAAAAAAAGATACAACATCCAAGAAGAAGAAATAAATGCAGACAAGTACTTAATGTTGAAGAATAAATCAATTTACATGTGTATGATTAGCTTAATGACTAAAATGAGATGCTACATTCTTGTTACTTAGTAAGTATCTACAAACATAAATATAAACAGAACTATTCGTAAATATAATTCTGCATATAATAGTTACTCGACAAGTTTTTTTTTAATGATTAACAGAGAAAGAGGACATTTGAATTATTAACCATAATTGATGGTACATATCGAAACATTGATTTCTGAAAGGAACATAGAGAGTGCAGTTGTAAGACTACAATTGCTTATTTTAGAGCTAATGGTTTGATAGTTGATATCTTATTTTAGAAAATATGTATTGTTTAGATTGCACAACGAAATATTTGCAGCCTACCAATAATATTAGTTTGAATAAAGTGAGAGTTTGTTGATTGATGTAAACCATCTTAGAATAGCAAGTAATTCCTCTTGACTACAATTCGAATCTCAAATCCCAAATGAGGATATCTCTTACTCGTGTAAATCATGATGTATCACTATGCTTATCTTAAATATAACGTTTTTGTAGTTAATTTGGTTTCAACACATACATTACGCTTGACATAATTTCTTAACAGGTAAAATACGTATATGGAATATGGTTTAAACAAGATACTTAATTTAGAAGAATACCATAGTATTTTTAATTTTCAGGAAAAAAATGAACTAATTTAATTGTCAGATGATAAACAATCATAATTTTCAACAGTTAAATCATCAAAAACTACTTGTTTTGTAGAGTTAAGCTATTTCTATGTTTAGGAATAATTCAGTTTCTTCAGACACTGAACTGTAACATACATTAAAGTTCTGTGGAGTTTTAACCTACATATTTTAAATGGTAGTATTTAGACATGAAAAGATACTGATAAATAGAAGAAACACCAAGAGGATATTGTTCATTTGTACGTAGACAATAAATTAGTAAGACATTGATGATTCCTTTTATGCTCAGTACTGATATTTATGCAAACTAATTGAAAAAGTGTTATTATCTGCTTGTTAGATGAACGATGAGTGACTCATTTGCCGTGTAAAGACTTATGAACTCAGTTTCGTGAAAGTTTTCTCACTTATGAATCCAAAAATATGGGAAGGATATGGATCTCAGCAGAATAACAACAATTCATCTATTTTTTTCTTCAAGTGCTTACAAACTGAAAACGGTCGAACTCTTTTGGTCACAGCTTCTCCCTAAAACTCCTAGAATCCTCTCTCGAAGTTAGTCACTAGTGAGCATATGACAAGATTCGAGAGGGGATCCTAAGAGTTCTAGTGAAAAGTGGTGACTAGTAGAGCTAATCTGTGTCGGTTGTGAGGCATTTATTCACCGAAGACAATAAAAAAAATGGTCGCACAACTTTGTAGATTGATTGCAGCTAGACTCTAAAATCAAAAATCTCCACAACCTCATACTGATAACCATATTTTCATTAATAAGATGATAATTTTATAGGGTTTAATACTGATAAACAATCCTAAAGTTCATAATTTTCCTTATGTTTTGTGCAATGTTCAACTTTGGTAACGTAAAAGTGTCATGCGTTCATGTACTTGCCATTTCAGTACATTGCTCATCTATTGTTATTAACTTCACTTGATGCTGTTTTACTTGTATCTCTCCATTTATGTTTAGGATTGCGATTGATCAGTTTCTTGTTGGTATATGTGCTTCCTGTGCAGATTGCCCAGATATAGCCTTGAGTCACAAGCTTTTTAAGCAAATATCGATAGTGGCTAGCAGTGGAATCCAGGACGCTCGTTTCGTCTCATTAGGGACTCCTCATCTGGATGCACCTGCATTCCAGAGTTGATATTCACTACGGGAATCGAACTTAGTACCGTTCGCTTCAAACGCCATCGCTATTTTGTTAAGGATAACTTTAAAAATATCAATGTAGAAACATTGTGTTTTCTAAATGAAGTCTCCAAATATTTATAATACCTTTCTCATTATACCAATATTTATCAATATTTTAGCTAATAATTATCAGTATATTATGTAACACATCCATTTTATTTTATATTTACTTACAATATATTTAGGACCAGAAGGATGGATGGCGTCAATTGAAACAGGGTCAAGTTGTTTCACTGAGTGTCTTGGTAGTATATTAAATCAAATGTGTCGTAAATCATCTTATTCAAATTCTGTGAAACTTATCAATTTAAATTATTCAAATGAAAATGTAGCACAAAGTTTCACTCATCAAGTTGTATCAGTTTTGAAAGGAACAATTATACCTTATAGTCTAAGAAGATTTTTGTGGCCGCTAGCATTATTTACAGTCACCGAACGGACTAGATCAGAATTCGAAAATCCAATTATTTGGAATGGACATAAAATGAGGTAGAATTGATTACACAAAATTTATTGTCATATATAGTCTTTTCTGAGGATGATTGTAAATGAATTAATAATACTGTAATGCAAAACGTCTTGATGATCTACTTTAATTGGCTTAATTATTATTGAGTCACTTCATTTTTAGAAATTTTCTTAATACAGTACAATTATAATCTATTTAAATGGTTTGTTTGTAGTGCCAGTTGTATATATTCTGAGGATAAACTCAAACTAATTTATTTTCTACTTAGTAAAAGTAATTTAGGCAGAAAATTGATAGCATCTTGAAATCCAATGTTTCTGAAACTTCAGTTTAAATGTGATAACCGATGAAATTCTGTGGATACAGTCACAGCATGGGTCCAACTTATTTAATCAATTGTAATTGTTAATCAAATCGCTAATATTTAATTAATGTTGATTTCATATTCATCTGTGAAACCCATTTAGTATTCCACAGATATGATGAGATTCTATTTGAAAATGAAGATTTCTTAATTCAGTTTCTTCTTATATCAACAATAACATTAAATCAATTATCCGTCAGACGGTTAACTTTTTGACTCAAAATCGATTCAACTTAAAAGTTGGTTTTCGTGAAAATTATTGAACTAAATAAATTGCATTCCAATGACTGACAGTAAGTTCTTTTGGCTTTACTGTAGGAATCCTTATATTAATTGCAAATAAATCATCATTGGTTAGAAAGTTTCTCAATTTTGCCGCAGGTTCGTTACATAAAGCCAGTGCGTTGCTTTTTGGTGAGAAATATCACAATTGACGATAGTCATTTCACATGCTTATAGCTGTTTTACTCCCTTTTTTGTTTGCAAATGCCCTGGAATCAAAATCCTGATCAGGAAATTTGACATGGTTTAGATGTATCATAAAAGAATCTCAAGATAAGTTATATAGTTTACTAATTATGTATCAACTTATGCAGATTAACTAAGATTCCTAGAATGTCTTTGAACATAACTATTTTGTACATAATGAAAGTCAAAATGCTCAACCGTATGAATAGGAAGCGTGGAATTTAGAATCTAGATCTTTAGGCCTTAAACTATGGAACTGCTAACGTAAATATCACTGCTTGAACATGATGTTAACCTGAAATTTATCTTGGATCTACATAAAGATTCTTGTGAGAATTTCATAAATGGCTTTCATATTCTCGTCATATTTTACTTAAAACCAAGAGAATTAGAATCATCTGCTCGAAAAAATTTTGGCGTTTTGTTGGCATCTGGAACCGCAAAACTTGGATTGACCACACCAATGTGTTCAAAATTTGATGATATCATTAAGAAAAGTGTGAAAGAGGTAGGTAGCTAATTAAACGTTGTTATATATGTACAGATAATGATTATTATCAAAAATAATATATAAATGCCGTTACAAAAGTATTTTTCATACATGTAGGAAATTATTCCAACTACAGAGAGCATTGATAAATTGACGACCACATCATAAATTGGTCATGTTAACTATCGCTAGGTATTTCGACTATTGCATAGATACAGCATGATAGTTGCCATAAAAATAGGATATTCTAAGTAAGTTTAGGCAGTAAATAACTTTTCAGAGTGTTTTTTAATTCAAATTATTTATCAAATATTCAGCTTTTTATCAGTGTACACCCGGCAACTACTCTACAAATTTCAAGATATTCAATAAATTCATTCCAATGATTAGTTGATACTACAAATAAATGTAAGAATGTAATTTTTATCTGAAATCCTCCTTTATACACATACCCGATCTGTAATTACTCCAGGTACTCATCAATACATGTATGTGGTTATATAACCCGAGATATAAACTAACTCACAATGAATATGTTGTAATGAAGAAAAGAAACGTCATTTAAAGTCATACATAAATCTATAGTGAACAGTAAAATAATTTTGAGTTGAGTAGTTAGTAGTAAAATTATTATTTTAAATTACATCACAGTACAAAATGTCGAATTTTACATAAACATTTTCATTGATTTTGATAATTTGGCATTATCTATTCTAGAATGTTTAATGTTAATATCCTCGTTGTTATTCTAGATATTATCAAAAGCGATTCCCAGTGGATAAGACTGACAAATCGTATAGTTACACTGCTAACCTGTGAGGTTATGGATGCTCATGCGGTAGTGAACGCTTTTATACACTTCAGGATTACTTACAATTACTATGATTTACCTTGTGAACAACGTTTAACTAATCCTATTTCACTATAATAGAATTTTAGTTATGTGAGACAACTAAGAATATTCTGATCATCTGACAATAAATTCTATTAAGAGTTAACATCCAGTGGGACTTAAAGCAAAAAATCTGGTTCAGCGAATTCATTCTTAATGTTGTACGACCATAAATACATACTTTTTCCCATAATAATAACTGAGATTACGTTTGTAGATAATATCCATAATTCACTGAACATAACATCAGAAGAAAAAAATAGATAAATAACGAAATTGGTATTTTGATCAAGAAAATAAAGATTTACTTGATAAGACACTTATGTTCATCCAGAATGCAATTGAATTTCGATAAAGATTAATCATTATAGAAATTGGCTAAGCGACATGATAAGACAGAGTAGTGAAATGGAAGTGGAATGTGATTAGAAATGAAAGTACAAAGGAAATAAATTACGTTTCAAGTTCAGAAGTGCAGTGGAGAGAGGATGATAGCTTGAAAATTTATGGGTTAAGGCAAGACTGAACTAGCTTCCTTAGTGTTTACCCTTCTGGTTCCCTCAAGTATTTTAACTTACAGATGATTTTGAACAGTGAACCTGTTTTTTTATCGATTGTGCCGCGTTCTTACGAATCCATTGACACCTCTTTGAGATCACTATGAAAAACATTTCCCTACCTGCTTGAAAAGAATAAGTACTGGCCGGTCAATACACCAAGATATCAACAGGATCAGTTGAATTGCTCAGTACGGATTAAAGTGACTAGATACATAAGTTTATCCTTAAATTTATCATTGAACATCGATCGAGTGTAGAACAAAAACCTCAAAGTTGGTGAGAAAAAATGTATATTTTGTGAGAGTTAAAAATTCTCATCTTCAAGGTATTTGCAGATTTTTTACCTATGAAATCAATCTGTACGCAAAGCATTTTCTTTTGGCATATAGATTATTAATTCTTTTGGAGATTTGAGCCTTAAAATCGTATCAACAAAACTTGATGGATATTTATTTTTGATAAGAGCACTTCAAACGTTTGGTTTTTCGTCTCTGATATAGGAATTGTAAATTCATCGGATCGGTATTTCTTGAGATATCATTAACTCCGTCCTCTTATTAATAGAGCTCTTAGGTGTAGAAGCGTGCTAACTAGTCAATCCATAAATGTTTCACGTAAACAGATCTACCGTAATTTCGCTTCAAATGCTTCTTATTATGTTTATTTCAACTTCATAGTTTCATAACGGCGTTGTTGTATATGTTCGTTTTTTCAAATAATAGACATTTTAGATTACATTCTAAAACTAAATACTCATATCAATAAAATAGAAAATTAACATGTTTATTGTATGGAAGAAATGTAAGTACTAATTTTAATGACATTATCTTCTTAATCATCACGTAATTCTATGTTATACAATAAAAAAAATAAAGATAGTCATTTAACCACTAGACAGTACGTTATTTGAGATCACTGGTTCACCAAAAGATCTTATGGATTAGACAATAGAAATTATGGATTACATCAGATTATCTATATCCTACATACTTTAATCTTTAAATAATATCATCTTCATCATTGCTTTAAATGACATATTATGAAAAAGGAGTTTTGGAAAGCTAACTTAACTTTATATTGTGAAATATTTGATCATTACTAATGGAAGTGAAATGCACCCATTAAGACAATAAATAAGATAGATTAGTTCATCGAAGAGTTCTCTTTTTTCGGTGAATTCATCTTCAAAGCTGTACAATCGCAAGTACATTTATCTATTTTTACAGGATGATGATAATATTGATAATAAACTTTTGTTAGACATGATGACAGTTAAGTAAAATAAACAAAGGTATCAAAAAAGGTTTTTATTTAACCTCACTGTTACCATGTCTAGCAGAAGTTTATTATCAGTATTGTCATCTTCCTGTAAAAATAGGTAAATATACTTGCGATTGTACAGCTTTAAAGATGAATTCACCGAAAAAAAAGAGAACTCTTCGATGAACTAATCTTTCTCATTACTAATGTCACATTACACATAATGATAATACCTCAATTTTTTTCACTGAATGTAAAGTACTGTTGATAATGCAAAATAATGTGTATTTATTACATGAATAAAATAAGTAAAATAATACTGTAGAAAAATTTTATTTTATTTTTCTAGATCAGTCTAGAACTTGAAACAAAATTCAAAAATCAACAAAAACAATTTAAACAATTCAAAGAACAATCAGTGAAAATTTTAAATGTATTTTATACAGCTAAACAAATTTATGATCCACTTTATATTTATTGGCTTCTTCCTATACATTTTGCACTTAATAAAGACTATGTTTATGAATTAATTAAACATTTTCCTGATATACCAACAAAAGTTTCTATTAATTCAGCTGATGAAGGTAATATCATTTATATTATTGAATACTTTATGTATTTTATAATGTTAAATTAATTGGTTACTAAGGCATAGTCTTATTCTTAGCACTAATTAGATTCTATCTATTGAGTTGGAATTTGATTACCATTCTAAATGATGATTATGCTTTATTTAGTTTGAAATTAAATGATCAGAATAGTCTGCATCACTATTTGGAAATAGGTTTTAGATAGTCATTATTCATTAGAAAAGTGAGTCTATGATCACTGGAGAATTAATATCTCCTTGGGGATTCGAAACTACTTATCATATTAGAAAAAAAATAATGACGCCAGTAAATGAATTCATAGTGAATTCATTATATGGCATAGTTAAAACATTCCACAAGAAAATTGAGACATTAATTCGACCACATTATGTTAGACATTTCATTAAAGTCTAGTAATAAAATGTTCCATAACAAGTTTATTAGCTCCAGTTTAATTCAAAATGTAATTTGTGTCGAATTTAAGGTTTAAAGTATTGGTTCATTGATCTTATATACAGTTTTAACCTTTGAATTAGTAATACAACAAAATAAAAGCTTTCAAACAGGAAAATATCTTTTTGGTGAAATATCCTTACAAGTTTTATGAGAATATAGTCAATATGGAAAAAGAAAGTGAGCTCAAATTTGTTACCTTTTAGCTTCACAAAATTAGCAGACAATTTTAATAAACAGAAAGCGACTTGACAAGTAAGCAAAATTTCACAGATTGAAATGAGTTAATTAAAGCTAGACCACATTGGAAAACCTGGAAGCATTGGACGGCCGCTTTGTCCTGGTATGGGACTCCTCAGCAGTGTGCGTCCACGATTCGAACACCGGACCTATCGCTCTCGCGTCAAGCGGTTAACCAACCAGACCACTGAGCCAGCATCCAATAGTTTTAATGTCTAACTTCAACTAATCCACGAAGTTGCGCCATCGCATGCCATTTTCTTCAGTGAGCTGATATCTCAAAACAGACCTGGTTGAACTCCACGGGTAACGTTTTCTCACTAGAACTCCAGGAGTATCTCTTGAAGTCAGTCACCAGTGAGCAGATGATTATTATCAGAAGGGGTTTGTGGAGATTTTAGAAATTTCACAGATTGAAATCATGAGTAAAATTGCACTGCTGAGGAGTCCCATACTAGGACGAAACGGCCGTCCAGTGCTTCTAGGTTTTTCATGGTGGTCTAGTTTCAATTAAATAATGGTTTCAATCTTTGAAATTTCTAAAATCTCCATAAACCCCTTCTGAGAGTAAACAGAATGTCAAGATAATTAGCGTAAAACCTTAAATCAGATGAAACTCACAAAACTAATGGAATATGTTTCATAACTATCCATAAAACAAACTACTTTAAACTGAGAAATAGCTAAAGCAGTATATTAAAAGTATTATTTTACAATTTAGTCCTACGATAAAGTTTCATAACTCAGTATACGTGGATAACTACCTTCGTCTCTAAAGTGATATGGGAATCGTCAAGAATATTGTGATTTGATTGCATAACCGATGAAGATCTCTTTTAGAATAATATTTACGGATTTATATTTACTAATTCGCTCACGCATGATCTTGATTTTGATACAGTGTTCTTTATATTAGTTCTCATTTTTAATAATGTTACCCACAAACAACTACAATAAATGTCTCTTATTGGCATATATGCATCCTTAAGTTACAAACGTTAAAAGCAGAGATGGATGATGGATAGCATTCATCTCTATTTATAATACTTTAAATGTATTTTATTTGCTTCTTGAAATAAATAAATAAATGAATAAAAACAAAACATGATCTTTTGTCATGTTAATCAAACAAAGTTTCACTACTTAAGTATAATGACATTATCGAATTTCAAATGACAAACTATCTAAATTATCCAACTGTATTTATTATTTAACATTATATGATAATCAAACTAGTGAAGTGATAAAAATTTGATTACTTTACACCTCAATATTAGTTATACATGTAGGTAAGGTTTATCTAATATCAAGAAAGTATAAACTACCCAATAATTTAAGAATATCACATTCTTATGTAATAGCACATCAAACAATCAAAAGTATACAAAACAAACTATAGTTGAAATCATGAATCAATCAAAGCTAGACTACCATCCAAAAGTGGATGGGCTGAAGTTAGACATTAACAACGTTTGATGCCGGCTCATTGGTCTAATGATTAATCGCTCGCGCTCGTGACTGATAGGCCCTAGGTTTGAATCTCGAGGGGGCGGGATCTTGGATGCACACTGCTGAGGAATCCCATACTAGGACGAAACGGCCGTCCAGTGCTTTCAGGTTTTCCGATGTGGTCTAGATTCAATTGACTCATGGTTTCAACTAATGAAATTAGTAAAATCTCCACAAAACCTGTTCTGGTAACAAACTATCTGATAATTTTTTTTTTAATCCTAGGTATTCAAATCTATTCGTTTGCTTTATGTTTAAGTATATTTGTTGATATAATGAGTAAAAAGTATGGATTATATCATAATAATGTTAATAATATAGTTGAAAAAACAATGAACAATATCAATCAACTAAAATGTATTCAGCATATTAAAAATGTCCATAAAGAATTTATTCTCCGAAATTCTAATAATACTAATAATTCTATTAAGAAATTGGATTTCGAAGTAAGTTTTAAATAAGATACAATTAGTTGTTGAACTTTAATCGTTCATGGAGAAATTTAAATTTTCCATTTCTACCTGGATTTTGTATTGATGATGTCGTTCAGAAGAACAATGAATACTCCACAATTAAACCATCCAGCTCAGAGAATAAAACTCCATCAAAATCATTCACCTGAGCTATAAATCTTTTCCACCATTGATATGTTTATTTGATTTAAGTGATAAACAAAAAGGGTAGGGTACTATGATTGTATTGTACTTTGTTATTTTCTTTACTCATCTATATAAAAGCTTATGGGTTTACTTTAAGGATTAGTTTGAAGATGAGGAGTTGTGCGTATTCAGCTCTGAAAGAATTGAAGTTAAAGCTATTCAGGGTATAATAAAATAGCATTGAAAATGCCAACAATTTTTTATATCGGTGTAACTTTTCGTGCTAGAATTTAATCTATAACAATGCTAATGACTTCAGTAAGTATCGCTTAACAGTATGACAAGTAAATCGATTTCTAAATGAGCTAGATATCAGCTGTATACAGGAATAATTATAAAATTCTTCATCTATATTTTTAACCATATATATATATATATCATAGCATCCGTGTTGAGCAAAAGATTCTTGTCATAAAGTAAAGCCTACCATGAACTTCAAAACTCTTTAATATGATTAATGAATACTTAAGTACAAGTGATCCAATCTGAATATAAAACATTTACTGACAAAATTTAAGTTTGAAAATGTTAACAAAGTGTAAAATCTGAGAACAGTACAAATATTGAGATAATATCCGATTAATGTTTGAATTCAACACTTATCATAAACATCAGATTAATGTCCCTTATAATATAGGATTCATAGTTCAACTAACCACTGTGTAGCAACCTTTTAGTGATGCCAAATTCTTGTCATAAAAATGTCAAATAAACATTTTAGTTTGATTACTTTCTACCCAACTAATACAGTACATTCTAATTATTCTTCTGAAACCATTTGTTAATCATAAGCTTTTAGAATTAAAAACTTGATGAATTATGATTTCGAAGTAATGTACTTTACTTTCGGGAATTTATTCGAAGTAGTTCTGCATATCTGTTGTTTCTACTGTGAGTTTCAACCACTAACCATCTGTTGCATAAAATATTAAATCTCGATGGTTGTGCTTGAAATGTATCAATTGTCAACTCCGCCATGTTCTATTTAAGGTGGAGGATAAGTCATACGTTGGAATTAGAATATTAGTCTATGTATAGTTTCAAATAGAACATAATTTGACCGTTATTTTGTGATTCATCTACTCAACATAGAACTAACACTCAAGGTTATGCGCAGTTAAATTCTTCGTTAAACTATGACGAATGAAGTTTTTACTCAATAATTTCAATAGCTAGAATAAGTCATGATATAAACATGAAAATGACATTAAAGGACATGATCTTATAGTTGAGATTGTTTGAACTTATTTTTCGAAAAGACACTTACCATCTTTACTTTATGCTTTATTAATTCGACGGATTAATTGGAATAAATCTTGGAGGTATTTCAAAGTCAAATGATGAATGTGAATGATTTCAATACTGATCAAAGATTAAATACATTAATTGAAAATGAAAACTCATACCTTTACAGGCTCTTAAAACAGTGGTTCGATAAAGTAAGTGATTGTGTTGAGTTTTTATGTTTGGGTTGTTTAAGAGTAAGATAGAGATTTAGTTTACGTGTCATTTTTATCTTGTAAGTTCTTTAATAACAAGCTGGAAGCAAAGTCTTTTTTCCGCTCATTTACAAAGTCCCATATATACGCTTAGAAACCCTAATAAGAAACTTTATGGTAGATAAATTACAACTTTCTTTTTTATTTAAATAAAATGTTTTGTCAAAATGTTATGACAGTAACGCTGCTATCAACTTCTCATGATGTGATACTTGTAATTACAATTGATTTAAGCTGGAAATATGTATTACGATAGGCTAACCCAGTAGTTTAATGGTTAAGCACTTCTGGGTTCTGTGTTCAATCACTGGTGTAGTCATAAGTCTTCATTACTGATGAGTCATATACTGGAATAAAGCAGCCACACAGTGCTTCCCGGTTTCTTATCTAAATTTAGCTGAGGTCAGTCAGCATCAGATACTGACCAGAATTTACAAAATTTGTAGACCAATAGCGTAAATGAAGGGGTAATATGCTAATACCCGAGATAATCAGTACTAAATTGATGTATCATAGGAACAGACCTAGAAATAATGATATTATTAATAATGTTTTAGAATTACATTAAAATACTTATTCATATTCATAATAAATACCTAAATATTTTCAATAGTTCCTGTGTGAATGATGCTTACAACATTAATAAGAGACTTTATGTTTAATAGTTTAATATTCAAAAGAGGTACTATTATCTTAATTATAATTAGGGAATTCTCATAAAGCAATTAATCCATTAAATGAATTTTGAAAGTATAATCAGAAGACTGATTTGATCTTTATAAAAAGACTGATATGTCACAGTACATTTCAAACAATCTAATAATACATAAGCATGTCAAAACATTTTCACATATAACTATGGAAGATTAATTGAGTACAGGGTTTAATAACAACGAATGATAACTGAAAATATAATCTGAAGTAATACGTTAAAAAACATACACACACATACAAGAAGTCACACTACTCTTAACATTGAAATAAATTCAAACTGAGAACAGGGTGATACATAAATTATCTAACGACTATGGCAACCATTAATTTAAAAATGTGATTTCGGACAATTCTACAAAGAATTTCATTTCTATGATATAGTCTTATATAAATATTGTAATTTGTAGATGTATGAAAGCTGAGGAAAGATTTAAGATATATTTTATTCAAAAGAAAAAAAAACAAACTGTTATATAATATTTTTCAAATCAATTGATGACCAACACTGTTATACTAATCAGATAAACAAATTCCTCTCATTAAAATGGTCTGAAGAAAAAAAAGAACCTGAGGATAATTCCATAAATATTACTGAAAAGTTTTATTTATTTTAAAATAGAGAAAATGTTTTTAGCTTACAAAACAAGTGAGCTTACACAAATGTTCTCCTGACAAGGAATGCTTACTTGCTCACTTACTTACACCTGTTACTCCCAATGAAGCATGGGCCACCGATCAGCACTCTTCAACTCACACTTTCATGTGCCTTTCTTTCTAGTTCCATCCAATCGTTGTTCATTTTTCTCATGTCTATCTCCATTTCTCGACGTAATGTGTTCTTTGCTCTTCCTCTCCTCCTTTGGCATTGAGCATTCCAAGTGACAGCTTACCTTTTGACATAGGTTTTTCTTCAATGTGAGTCTTATCCACTTCCAGTAATTCTTCGTGATTTCTTGTTCCACTGGAATTTGGTTTGTTCTCTCCCATAGTAGGTCGTTGTTGATAATGTCTGGCCAACGGATCCGAATTATTTTGAGTAGACGGCTGTTAATAAACACTTGTATGTTCTGGATGATGGCTTTCGTAGTTCTCCAAGTTTCCGCCATATACAGTGGGACTGTCTTGACATTTGTATTGAAAATTCTAAAATTGGTATTGGTTGACAATTTTTTTAAGTTCCATATGTCCTTCAACTGTAGATATGCTGCTCTTGCTTTGCTGATTCGCGCCTTCACATCTTCATCAAATCCACCATGTTCAGTGATGCTGCCCACATATGTAAAGGATTTTACATCTTCCAAATCTTCTTCATCAAATGTGATTTTATTGGTGCATTCTGTGTTGTATATCGAAGAATATTCCTCTGTCTGGAGACCCCTTGGGGCCACTGCCCGTCTCAAGCCCGGATAAAGGAGGACATTTAGTGACTCCATCCGGTAGAAAACTAACTCGCTAAAAAAACCCTAACCACAAAATAATAATAAGGAATTCGAATAATATAAATGGATTATTTAAATGAAATCTAATTTAACATCAAATTATTATTTATGTACTTTAGTATTTGGTATTATTGTAGTGAGCAAAACACCAGTGGAGATAATCTAATGTATTTAACACAAAATCATAGGACTTGTTAATCAAATCTAACAATCATAAAGTAAATGCTTAATTTGAAAAATGTCCACCAATTGTCTCAAAATGACTCAGACTACATTGTTCTTGCATTTTTATACAAATTGCACCCTATCTTCATTCTTTACTGTTCGATCCTCTTATCTCTGCTGCCAGACCTTCCGTTCACGACTAACATCATATGCTACTTATGCCAATATAAGTAGCACACACCACATTATAAGTAGTTGATATCTTACAATTTGTATTATTCACTTTAAAAACTTCCCATTAATTTGAGTTTTATTTTATGTTTCTTTATTATTATTGTTCAGCTATTTGTTGGTACTGTAAACAGTATAGCTTTATTATTTTTTTGGGATCAATTATTTTTAAATTCATTCAATTGTGATGTGATTATTGAATTCGCTGAAACAATCCTTGTGTTATTAGGCTCAGATATTTTACAAGTTAATAATTTTACTGACATGGAACAAGTAAGTTTAAATGTAAATATTAATTTTATTAAATTAAACATTTTCACTTCAGAAGATGACAATATAGTTTTAATGAGAAGGTCAATTGTATAACTGTTAGGTCCCGATAAACATAATGAATAGTAACTTTTGGGATCCTTTTATGGACCAATACTAAACGCATATTTTTATGGCATAATTGTTAAGTAACTAAACTATTCATATTCCACTTATTATAAACTTTATTCTGACCTATGAACCATTATTATAAGTTTTACCATTCTTGAATTATGCCCTATTTATTAGTCACCGCCTCACACATTCACAGTCACATTTAGCCAAATTTTGTACAAATGTTATTTTCTATTTTATGCTACATTGTGGTCTGTTTGATTGGTATATAAACTCAGTATGTTTGAAATATAAGGATTCATATTGCAGAGGCTGAGACTGGCGTTTTGAACTTAACTGGCTGGGCTAGGCGGAAAGCAGAACTAGTCAGGACTCTAGGCTGTTCGTACGTGTTTTACGCGTCCTTGGTCCGATCGACAATTTCCTGCTTCTGATTGGCGGCTTTGGGCTATAACAATAACATACTATAGAGCAATACTAGTGTGATGAAATCGTTTTTTTTTAATTCCCACGCTGCCTTTGAGGTATCTTAATTCTTTATCTACTCAGGATGAAGTTGAGGTCGTGTCATTCTTTTCATTTTCATATAAATGAAAGTTGCTATAATATTTTGATTTTAAAGATCTATTTATATTCCAGTTATTATTGATTAAAATATAACGAACTGATCGAAACAGTTTCATCAAAGACAAGCATTTTGGATTTCAAATCAATCGAATTCTGTTATAAATAAATCAATTTAAAGACGATTTCTAGTATGAAAATGTATTATTGTCATTTTGAAAATCGTCTTCATTAAGATCTTTAAGTAAATAAGGATTTGAAAATTTCATAAGAAATCTCCATCAAATTACATTGTAACAGATTAAATATAGGGGACAGATTATGCGGAAAAGATTATTTATTTCCATTGATTAGTTCTGTTGAAATATATATTTAAATCCATTCATTTTTTTAGACAAAATTATTGTTGCTATCAAAGCAGTTTTGAATAGAGATCTATACAGATTGTTTTATAACTGAATGCATTAAACTTGTGACCAGTCATTCATTTTAGTATAGAACTGATACTTCTATGGTTAATCAAACTCTTATGTAGAACGAATCTTTCAGTGATATATATATATATATATATATATATATATATATAATGAGTTACTAAAGAGATATACAAAATGTCATTCAATAAGCTACTAACAATATGATTTAAAGTACCTCCTTCAACTCTAAACGTTTTTAGAACAAATTCGTCTCCGGTTGTCGATGTAGTTTACCAAGGTTATAATGATAATTCACCAGGTTTTAAATGTTATGAATAGACATCGAACCATATATTAAGGCTACTATCTTGTCAAAGTAACATTATTAAAAGGATTAACTAGTTTATGACTAAAGATGGAATACTTTAACAATTGATGTGTCATCGTCAACTAATATCAGATTAATGATACCACTGCATAATTGTATCATATAAGTAATTATTTGATGTATGTCCATTACACTATTACTAAGTGGAAAATTGAAAAAAAACTCTTCTATCACATCACAACCACGTTCTGAAAGTACTGGTTAGTAAATGAGTTTTAATGAGAGATTTTATAAATAAACTGTACGTTAGAAGATAAATAAAATTTTTATAACCTCGAATAATCTAAAATCAGTAGAAATAATATGTTGTTCATTTGTGTTGGTTGCTTGAATCTTTCTGTTTATGTTATGGACTGCAATCGATCAGTCTCTTTTGATTTATGTGAGGATCGCCTTGATATTGACATTGGAATTACATGATTGCTGAATTCCATAACTAAACACCATCCAATTATGCTAATATGATGTTTTATTAGCAATAAAGTAAAAGGTATTTATGTTTGAGTAGTGCTATTCTGTGTTCTTCTCACCTATTACTATTTCGCTTATCAGTGATTTATGTACCAAATGGAAGTTTATCTTAAGGTTTACCAGAACTACTAATGTAAATCCATGTTTAATTGAGTGTGTTGCTTGACAAAATATATGCACTTTTATTCTACTCTGCATAATAATCCATCTTCATAAGCTAGTTAAGATCAAAAACTATATTACCTGAAAATAATTTGGTTATGTTTATCTTTAAACTTTAGCTATTAAACCATGGACCGAATAAACTTCTAACGAAGGACATAATTCAAACATGGAATATGATTCATTTACATAAAGTTTTAGATGATGATTACTATAAATTAAACAGACTTTCTGGGAAATTAGTGTAAGTTATATGCTATGATGATATCTTTTAATTTATTTACACGAATTAGATTTCCGTCAGTATACTTATTTCTGCTTGATTCTAAAAAAAGGAATTCAGACTGATGCGTGAATCCCGTAAAAATCTTTTCAACACTAGAGAGCACTTGGCAACTATTTTGTTATGAATACAGAGTCTCCATCAGAGAACCCTTAAAATTAAACATGGGATCTCATCAAAGAACTTTAGGGTTCGGCATCAGTGTATAGCAGTTTGACAACACCTAATAAATTAACTAATACAGTTAATATTTTGAAAGGATATCAGAAAAAAAACCCACTAAATAAAGTTTATTGTATGGTCATAAGTTTAGACAGTGATATGGTATAATGGTTAAAGTATATCGTTTTCAATCACTTGATTACTAGTCTGAATGTTATTGGGTCAAATATTATGATATATCTGTACATGAAATGTAAATCAAACCTAGCTTCGTGAACGCATATTTGATTAAATGTTATAACTATAACATTATATTCCTATTTCAAAAGTAAATATTTAGGAAAGAGTACTTCTGAATATAAGTACAATGTATTACCAAACTTCATTTTCAGCTACGTTATGAACTACATAAAATTTGCATATGTTATCAGAGTACTTTATACTAAGTAAAATTTCGAGGTAATGTTTAGTACATTAGCACATATCAGTAGATACAATGCATTATGTGAAATTTTATATGGCTAGTTTTCCAAAGATTCATATGTATTCTATTAAACATAATAAGTTGAAAGTGAAGAAACATAGGTTTCAATTTGATTCAACATGGAATTCCAAAAAACTTTACTTAAATGCAGGTCAGTCGTCAATCGCATAATAATGCACAAAATTCAACTTTAAAATTGCGTTTTAAATTTCTAGTAGTGTATTGTAGTTTACAGAAACTATGTCAACGGTGCATAATTAACCTGAGTTCTAAATCCTAGAGATTGATTGACAAACTAACAGTGTTTTCAGTAACAAATTTCGAATGTCATTATTTATTTGAAATCATAAACTAATGTGTCAGACCATCTGTAAGCATTGGACAGGTATTTTATCCTAACTTGGGAATCCTCAGCAGTGCTCACCCACGATCCAACACTTGAGAATCGAGCCTAGGACCTTCAGTCTCACACGCAAACATATAACCTCTAGATCACTGAGCTGACATCCAGCAGTGTTAATGTCTAACTTCTGCGACACAATCTGCGACATTGTTTTCGGTGGATAATTACCTCATACCGGATATGGGCTAGCTTCACTGATCACGGTTTTTCGAACCGGAACAAAACGACATTCCAGTGCTTCCAAGTTTTCAATGTTGGTCTAGTTCAAATCATTTCATGGTTGCAATGAAATTCTTCGATCTCCACAACACCTTACTGACGGTCATTATTTCCATTATCTTATCTTACTGGTTGCTTTTTTATTTCACAGATTTAATAGAAGTTATTTTTCTGATCCCATTTATTTGTGTGCAATATTCTTTAGTCACCATAATTGGTAGGTTGCTGGTTATATGATAGGTATTGTTTTGTCTTATTTTTCGACAATATGACATAAGTTTCTTCAGTTCCTCGGATGCTTACATGAGTTCTGTAAAAAAATCTTCCATGTATATTCTATTTAAATTCTCTGTTCAAGCTATTTAAAAAAACTGTCATATATTCTTGATTTAGCTTGAGATATGTTTCTAATTTTATAAATAATAATGTTTAGAATAAATGGACAGTTTCAGTAATTTGCTTTGACTAACCTTCCTATAAGTTCGAGACTTTGATGTTGACACCAAAGTAGGATTAGATCACTATGATCATATGAAGAATAACAATGTTTTATTATTGGAAGCTTTATTACATTATTCAGTCCATTATCACTTTTCATAAGACTTTAGGAAAACTAAGAATTTAATTAATACTACCAACGACTTTTGTCAATCACATTGCCAAAATCAACAGTTTAACTAATCGCGTTAGCGTTACTCCGTTTGTAGTATGTTGAATAGTGTTAGTCAGTTGGCCATAAGAAAAGTAAAACCTGATACAAATATGTATCAAACAAAGCTACCGCACGACATCAACATAGAGAGATAAGATTATCAAGAGGAATATAAAAGCAGTAGAAGAAGTGATAGTATCCATGATAGTCAAAACGTTTGGACATACAAAATACGATTTAAATAAATTAATTTTTGGGATAAAAAGTATTAAATAATTTTGAAAATCAGAACCTAAAGGTATAACATAACCAATTAATCTTCATCATTGTGATCGATTTCGAGCCGTGTCATCCAGTATCTCCAACCACTTATCACAGTCATCATATGGATGCCAATCAAGTGATCTACATCTGTCAACCTGATTCCGTTCAGCAGTCAGTGATTTCATGGAGTGATGTTGCATCTTCTTTTGGTTTGTCCCGTTCTACTGGAGCAATACTCTGAGAGCACGTAAGATCAAACACTTAAAGCTCATGCATCCATTCTACTGTTGAAGATAATGTTTCATAAGCACAAATTAATATAGAGTATGGTGCTGTGCAACATATACGCACATTAATTAGCAGACGAGACTCTCCCCAAAGTTACATATTTGGAAGGTACTCGATTTGAAGTAGAAAAGTGTTCTGTACAGTTCGGCTAGAAATCTATGAGTTGATAAAAGATAACGGAGCTTTCGAAAACTCTGCAAAGATTTCGATAAACAACAGCCCACCAGGGATGATGAGGCTTCCGAGATATGTGAAGTGATAAATACGCTTAACTATTTCAGTACGAACCGCTAATTCATGCGTTGACGAAGACTAGTCTTCAAAAAAAATTATACTTGGAGGAAAGTAGACGTATAGCAAGAATGTTTGTACCACTGCTCAATGCAATCAGGAGATTCTGCATCTGAAGACTTCGTCTTCATCAGAAAGGACTATGTCATCTGAGTATTCTAAGACAGCAGGTGAATCTCCTGGTAAGATATTAACTCTTGAAAGTTGAAGAGTGATTCCTATGAGTTCATTTATTACGAATTTAAATAGAGATAGGGATAGTTATCACTACTGACGAGCACCACATAAGGTTGACAATTCTGATGATAAATAATCATGAGTTCTGATTTGACAAGTAGCGTTCAAGTGGAAAGTCTGCATAAGGTTTTTGTATTTTGATACATCTTATACTACAAACATTATCACCGAATCTCTCGGTCTACAAAGTCGAATGTCATCTTTAAGTCAAGAAATACAATAACAGTCAAATGCTTTTAAGTATACCTATGTTCTACAACCTGATAGAAAGTGAGCATTTGATCGGTGCATTCATAACTAGATCTGAAATAAGCATGAGTTTCCCAAGCTTGTTGTTAACAAATCTTAGTTATGTATTGGTTGATTAATGGGATTAATATTTTAGACATTATATTAGTTAAATTGATTTTTACATCAATATTACAAAAGGATTTTTATCCTTTCTTATAAACTGGAACAATTATCCATTAAACATTCAAAATTCATTGGAATTAAAAATCTTCCAAGACATTCAGATACATTACACTTTGCCAATAACAATGGAAACAATGAGACTTATGATTTACTATCAGAACCTTTTAATCAGTTCAAAATAAACATAATACTTTTTTATTTTATTTAAATCTGATTCTGATTTGACTTTAAAACTGAATTTCACTAAATCAATTATCAATTATTCTTTATTTAACTAGACTAATTAATCTTTGGCAAGACAAACAATCTACATTTATCACATAATGAATAAGCAAACCTTCATTATTTAATCAGTGTCCATATTCATTGTACTAGAAAATATGAAAGCAAAAAAATAATCAGGATACTAACAAATTTACTTGCATGTAAATTAGCATGATATATATATATATATATATATATATATATATATATATATATATATATATATATATATATATATATGATGTACCCTAGTACGCATAAATTATAATAGTATTCATATTTTACACATTAAGCTGGGTAACCATAATAGAAGATAAGTTCTGAACGATAATTTGTGCTGTTATGTAAACATAAATTAAAAAAAGCACTATTCGGTATAAATATACACATACTATCAAAATGTTTATCTATCTATCTATCTATCAAATTAATCTGTGTTTATGTTACCAATGAGAATGAGAACACATCTAAGTATCATAGAATGAAAATTAATTACAAATTATCTAATATAAATAATACATAGATATGTAGATGATAATACACTAACGTAATTTTTTTTTATATATTCATTATACATCATGTAAAATTTGCATTTTTACTTAAACAACTAAAAATTGTGATTATAGTTACTAAATTTCTAAAAGATTTTAGAAATAGGTTAAATTGATATGTTCACCTACAGTGTACTTAAAAGTTTATTACTAATTTAGTATGCAACTGAAATACAATATGAATTTGATTAAGATTTAAGTTTTTATCAAAAGGGGTTTTGTGGAGATTTTAAGTAATTTCAATAGTTGAAATCATGAGTCAATTGAAGCTAGACCACATTGAAAAACCTGAAAGCACTGGATGGCCGTTTCGTTCTAGTATGGAATTTCTCAGGGGTGTGCATCCACGATCCCACCCCCTCGAGATTCGAACCCAGGACCTATCAGTCTCGAGCGCGAGCGCTTAATCATTAAACCAATGAGCCGGCATCCAATGGTATTACTGTTTAACTTCAACCAATCCACGAAATCGCGCCACCGTACACCATTGTCTTCAGTGAGTTACTATCTCACAATAGACCCGGTTGAACTTACAAGATGTACTGTAACTGAATATTTTTAATTTAATGCACTATGAAATCATCAATATTCACTGTTGTAAAGTTAGTAATCAAGATGAAGTTGATGTGATTTGCTCTCTAGTTTTTAATATTGATCTACATGATTCCAGTTACTGATGAAATTATATTAAAATTAGAATAAAATAAAACATTTTAATGCTTCCAATAAGTATTTGGTTTCACATTTATTCACAAAGCAATCAGTGGGTAACTGAAATGTTACCAAGAATTTTGTTTAGTATATCTCGTGATTCTATGTATATTATTATTATTATTGGCTTTATTCAGTATCATATTTTTAGTACAATATAGAATTCTCAGCACAAAGTATCCCAACAAGTTACCTTTTATCATATCATGATCAATCGTTGTGACAAATATTGAGTGGTCACCATTTAGATGTTAGCAGTTCAGGAATCGACATCTGAATAATGTATATTCTTTTCGATGCTGATTTTCAGCCATCACGATGTCTCCGACTGTACATTTTTTGCAATAAAAAGTTATCTGTTTTCTGGTTTGTTTTAACACATCATTATACCTATTACTCTCACAACCTATTCAGGTGCGTTTGTGAAAAGTTTACGACATTTCGCTGTACAAGTTACAAAAACGTACAGTCGGAGACATCGTGATGGCTGGCAATAAGCATGAAAAAGAATATACATTATTCAGATGTCGATTCCTGAACTGCTATATTCATCGCAACGACTGATCAAGAAATAAGAAAATGAAAACTTGTTGAAATACTTTGTGCTGAGAATTCTATATTTTACGAAAAATATAATACTGAATAAAGCCAATAATTATCAAATTTAAAAAAATCTTATCGGAGAGACTATAATTTATGGCCGAACCAATCAGGTATAAGATAATAAGTCTTAGATTTTGGTGCGAAATTCACGCATCCATTTGGATAAATATCGTTTTGGCATTATAGCTTATGTCAGTTCGTGATGAAAACCTTAAATCTAATTCCTAACACTAACCATCAATTGTGAATCATAATTCTAATTCCTCACACTTTTTATAACCCTCATTTGGTCTTAGTTGTTAGGTGGACACTCTCAAAGGTCGTCCATAAATTATAGTCTCACTTCGTTATCAAATGTTTTGAGAAGTATAGTGATTTGATTTTTGAAGGCATCTGAAATCATTGTTGGAATCTGTCAAAGTATCAAATGAAAATTTTTTAAATACTTTAATACTTAATTATAGATCATTAACAAGGGAAATACAAGAAACATCGAAGAAAGATGTCAATTTTTATTTACAAGACTTTGTTATACATAATATAATTGTAACAACAGTAACAGATTCAAGAAAAGTAAGTTCTTCTGTAACAGTTTGTGTATCACTGTAAAAGTATAGAATACTAGACGGTCTCACTTCATTATTATAGATTCAGAGTGTCAATGATAAAACATAATTGAATTCTTCATTTTTTTAATCATAAAACAAACAATTTATTTATATCTTCAGGTAACATAACACATTCTCATGGGTGCACTTATCAGTGTATTCTCCAACTGAATAGATTAGTAACTTAATTTAACTAGAAACACATAATATATTGAATCAGATGTAAGATAATTAATAAGAACCATAATAGTTATTTAGTTTGATTTGTGTTCTGTCGATAAAGATAACTATAAGTCAGTTGATGATATTCGTAGGTAAAGAAACAATGATAAGATACAATATAGGCAGATTATGCTCTGTTTAGTGACCCTATGTATATAGTCTATTGACTGAAGCTTATTCTTTTATAAATATCTATTCCTTTTTCCCCTAGATTTTACCCCCTGATTTATTTCGTATAAAACTGGACTATATTGTTGAAGAGGAAATAAAACAAAGTACTTTGACTGAAACTATACCGACAATGATATTTCATGGGAAAATATCACAAATATATGATTTCTTAGATCAGATTTATTCTACTGATGAAGATTACAGTAAAAATAAGCCTAATTCAATTACAAATTATTCATATCCATCATTTATACAAGAACAATCTAAAATGTATATTACCATGTTTCAATTTAACATGGAACAATCTTACTCTTTTATGGTAAATTTCAATTTTATTGGTAAAAAAAGGATTCAGTTTTTTAATAGTTTGTTTATAAACAATCAATTTTTATTGTTACAAATGGATAGAAGTAAACAAAAGGCTGAAATTAATCAGTACTCTTGAAATATAAATTAATAGATGATAGGATGTTTTAAATTTTCAGTACTATGCAAGATCCTCAAATACAACACGGAGAACATCAACACAATCACACTTGATGGAGAAATTCTGGAAGGGGTGGAAAGTTTCACGTATCTGGTTAGCATCATCGATGAACAAGGAGGCACTGATTCAGACGTAAAGGCAAGGATTGGCGAATCAGGGGCCGCATTCCTACACTTGAACAATATGGGGAACTCAAAACAAATATCAACCAATATCAAAGTGAAAACCTTCAATACCAGCGTCAAGATAGTTCTACTATACGGAGCTAAAACTTCGGGAACTACTATAACCACTATCAATAAGGTACAAATATTTATAACCAATTGTCTACGTAAGATACTGAATGTCTGTTGATGACCGGATACCATGAGCAACAGCCTACTGTGGAAGAGAGCAAACCAACTTCAAGCAGAGGCGGAAATTAGGAAAAGGCGTTGGAAGTGGATAGAACACATATTGAGGAAATCATCAAACTGCATCATGAGGCACTCACTGAATTGGAATCCTGAGGCGATACAAAAATGAAGAATCCCAAATAACATATTGCGTTGGGAATTGCAAGCAGAAATAAAATGGATGAATGGCCACTAGAAACAACTGGAACGGATTGTCCAGGACAAATTTAGATGGGATATGCTGATGAGCGGCCTATTCTCCTCCATGAGGGGTAACAGGCGTAAGTAAGTAATGTTAAGTGATTTGCCGAAAAAGCAAACAAATTCGTTAAATTTCATATAATCCATTGTTACTAATCATTGTATTTGCATTGTTTAATGATTTCTTGATTGACCAAAGAATTACAAAAGCTGTATAGTGATAACTACACTATCACACGAATCCATTAAAAAGTGTCTGATCTATCAGTTTCAAGTACTTATTCACTGGCATACAGAATACTAATTTTTTAAAAACTTTTATTTATGGTCATATTGTTACACGAATATACAGTTACAGTAACAATAACATATGTGGTTGAACATTCAATTATAAAGCTTAAATAGTTTACGAGCCCTCAGTCATCTAAAATACAATTTCTGATATATTTCCATACGTAGTCTGAAGTTTTTTCTCCTAAATCACTAAGATTTTGTTTTGGGAGTGTTAGCCAACTGAATCAATACGACTTTATGTAATTCATCTGAAGTATTCCACAAAATGCTCAAAGTTCCAAAGTCGTTTTCGTGATTGTCAGTCTTATTTTATTTCAAATTCTTTACAAGATGATGTGAATAGAGAGACAAAGAAGCCATGATAAACATTGGAAATGTGTAAAATACTGACATTTAGTTTGGTCCCTACTTTATTCTAGAAAACATATGCCTTCGTTTGATGTATGATTCACTGTCATACCCTTTTCTGTTCCAAAGCTATTGCAGTTTAAATATAACGTTTTGTGCTCTTTTTCTGCCATAATGCCTGGTTCGGAAATAGTTGTATTTTTCTAGTTGTTTGGGCGTTGTGGTCATGTTAGTCATCTATTTATTCATTTTACGCTAACCTGAAATCGGGAATTAGGAATAAACCGGGCAGTGTTCCAGTTGACTTGTCTTCTCTCTCTCCCACTTATCAAGCGATCACGTGATAGAATAGTTTTAGTTTCTTTATCCAAGGTCGTTAGTCTTAATTCGGACTCACGCATTTCTAGCCTCAAGGTAAAAACACTTAGCCTATCGTGTCAAGGCCTTAACCTAGATCGAGACGAGTTCTCTCCTTTATATTATTCGGTAGACAAATCAAGGACGTAACAATATACCATATCCATCTACTGCGTCAAATATATCCAATGAATACTCTTGAATTTCCATGATTAAAACCTACATTCATAAACTTCACTACTCAGCCACTAAAAAGTAATCATGGTCACTCTAAGCGATAAACGGTTTTTCCAAACAGCTTTAATATTGGGATTGTTATCTGAAGTTATAACTGTTTCAATTTCCAATGGCTAAGTTTGAATGCCGTTGTGACACAACTGTAATGTTAATCCCATATACCTTATTCTAGCTTTCGGACAGCCCATTCTATTCATTCTACTTGAGTCATATTCTGACCTTGTTATTTATTCGCTTATCAATCTTCACTACCTTTATATGGGCGCGTAGGTGTGTGTATATTTCTTATCCCATTACTCATCACATATCTGTAACTACAAATATTGATTAACGCTTGGTTAAATGGGAGTTGGCTTACCAACCATCTCCACTGCGCGTCGTTTCGCTTTTCTCTATTCCATTCGCTTCATATACAAAATATATGTGTTCAAAAGTCCATTCTCATTATTTCACTTATTTAATCCCGTTATTGACTAACGCGATTAAAGTCGATGATTATGTACGAGGATAGGTGATAACAAACATTCATTAAGATCTAATTAGAGTCAGATCTCGGGCCACTAAAGTGGAGAGCCCTTTCGACAGCATCGTTCGATCTAAATGACGATTAAATAACGGGCCCTACTAAACAACAATTGGATTTGATTCAATAAAGACAGGGTTCTCTTTGAACGACTAAGAACTTTTGTTCACCACGCTCTTTAGATTGCTTTGTTCTTAAATAAAATTTTTAAATGTAAAGAAATACAACTCATACGTTTGGAAGAATATTGTTACTTTCAGTTTCTAAACTTGGTACTTCAAGGTGATAAAATGTCTTTATTTTTTCCAATTCTTGGAATTTTGTCATATGACATTAGATGTTCAGCATCTTTCCCCTCTACTAAATTCGGAAAGTTATTAAACATATACAAGAGGCCTCCTAAACTGTTTACTTAAGCTAAATTTCCTTTTGAATAAGTAGTAATTTAGACATTACGAATGAGAAGTATTATTGATTATTCTTTAATTACGTGCTAGTGATTACACAGTTTTAAAATTCAACGTACATTTTGGGGTATTTGTTAAGAAGTGTAATTAATCATCTGGATAGCCTTTCATCATCTTACAGAATTTAACTCAATCGATATATACATAGGGAAACTAAGAAAGTTCGAGAATGTATAGTCTGCGAAAAATAAATGAAAATTAACATCCTAAACCATGAACGGGAAAATAGTTTGTGAATATTTATACTACTTACAACTAAATTGAGTAGAAACAGTTCCAAATAATTAAATTTTCTGATTTTGCTGTCAAATTATAGGAACAGAAACTTAAGATCATCGAACCTATGAATGAGCAAAATTATGTAAAACCCTCATTAGTTGGGCATATTCGTGTTGCATTACAATATAAAAAGCCAAATACTGATGAAGAAAGTAATAATAGTGAGTGACTGTTTAACTAATTTGGTAATTTTATTACATTATTAAACTATCCTTTATTTCTGCGTCGAGAAATCGTCTACTGAATGACTTTTCAAAGAACAATTCATTCTTCCTCTTCACATTTGACATTAATAATTGAATGCGCGTTATTAAAATAATTTAGAAAGCATAGGTGATAGATTGTCACGCACCACACAGGTAGCTTGTTATCAGTTATCTGTATAACGATAACTCTATTCAATTTTATCAAACTTGAAACAGCTCGTTTTCAAGTTTCGTTAACACAGTATACCAACATATACAACCTATATAAATTTATAAGAACTTATAAACTTTGAACCTGTTGAGGATTCATGTTGAAACCAGTCTTTTATTTTGTAGATGACTGGGTAACATTCGGTTGGACACAGATACAATGTTTTACTAAGAAAGACAACTCCAAATTTGTTAACGAAACTGGTTCAAAGGTAGGTGAATTAATTAAATAAATATGATTGATGCTCAATTAACTACAATTAGTTCAAACATTGATAGGATTGATTTATATTTGTCTGAAAGGTAAGTTGCTCAGTCCATAAGTCGTTATTGCATCAATCTTTTCTAGAGTAAAAATACTTGATTGAGATGACTTAATAAAAACAGATATATATATGTGATTTCTCTTACTTCAAAAATGAATGGAAGACAGTTCTATCTGGCCTGATTTTTAAAAGCTATTCCACTAAATTTCATAAGTAAACACATCTAGGAAAATTTAAAACAACATTTTTCTAAGACTGAAAATTAAATCTAAAACATGATGTGAGTGAAAAACAAATTACGAAAAGTGGTTTATCCGTTATCAAACATACTTATTTCCCGCCAAATTAAAACTGAGATATAATTGGTAAACTTCACTTCACCTAGAGTTGTGCTGATGATATTTTTTAGAAGAACGATGAAAGCTTCACGACCGAATCTACCGGCACAGAGAACAAAATCCCACCTAATTTATCCACCTGAGCTACAAATCTCCCCACCATCTCATGAACTGAGACAAATCAACCAACCAGCGTTCTGAATCTCACTGGTTCCTCAATTAATGTAGTATCTTCTGATTAAACTTCCACAATATTATTTTAGTAATCTTTTAATTTAAAATTTACTTATTTCCACATAAGTAACATAATTATTATTTCAAGTGGGTACTGTTGGTGAATATTATTTTGTATAGAAAATTAATGACTGTAAACAGATAAAGAAATTGCTGAAAAAATTTGTTATATAGTATGGTAGGGTCGACATTAAAACTATTACGGTACTTGTTCTATGCTAACGAAGAATAAATGAATGGTAACTGCTAGGAATTATTTACAGACTGTTATTATACATATATTCATACTGTGTAACTATTAAGTAACTAGATTATATATATTTATATTCCACTTATTGTAAGCTTTCATTTGACTTATCGGCTACTATTATACGATTTACCATTTTTAACTTATTCCCGATTTATTAGTTACAGTATCTCACACTCATAGCCACTTTTGACTTGCTCTTGTATAATTGTAATTTCCTATTTTATGGTGCGATGAGGTCTGATTTGCTTGCATATAAACTGCTTATGTCTGAAATACACAATTCATGCAGTGAAGCTGAGATTGTGTTCTGAACTTAACGGGCAAGGTAAATCAAGGCAGGAACGAATAAGGACTCTTAGTTGACTCTAGGCTGCACGTACTAGTCAACGAATCATTGGTTTGATGAAATTTTGTTCTCTGAGCTGGATGGGTTGGTCGTGGAGCTTTCATCGTTCTTCTGAACGACATCATCATCACAAACTTCAGCTAGAAGTGAAGTGTTTGAATTTATCCATATGCGTTTCATAGCTTGTTCTGTGCACCTCAATGTTGATTGTTTCTTATTGATCATAAATTTGTCACCGTTTACTTCTTTATTTTGGTTGTGTCTCCCATCGGTTCTATTTTTGTTCCTATATTTGTGCATAACTTTCCTGAATGGTTGATAAATTGGATCGATTTCAATGTGCTTGTTGATTGCTGATTGACCTGAGTGCCAGGCTTTCAAAAATTCCCTGGTGTTTTTGAAATTTCCTCTGTCCAAGATTTCCACATTTTTCCAATCGAATGAGTGTCCGCAGTTGTCCACGTGTATTTATATAAGTGAGGAAATATCATTGCGTTTGACTGCTAATGATGTTCATGTAGGCGAAATTGAAGGGTGCGTCCGCTTTGTCCAGCAAAGTAGACAATGACAAATTTAAGGTCAATAAGAACCAATCAACATCGAGGTGCACAGAACAAGCTGTGAAACGCATATGGAGAAATTCAAACACTTCACTTCTATCTGAAGTTTGTGCTGATGATGTCGTTCAGAAGAACGATGAAAGCTCCACGACCAAACCATCCAGCTCAGGGAAAAAAAGCTCCATCAAAATCATCCTCCTGAGCAACAAATCTTCTCCATCATCTCAAAATCATTGGTTTGACATAGCACCAAGGTCATGTGAGTCGGTGTTTTAATTGGTGATTTTATCATGAGATAATTAACAGGGCAAAAGATATAACAGTTCCTTTCTAACCTAAAGATAAATTTCGAAGGTGTGATCATAAATATTCCAATAATAACCGAATTTACAATCTTTAAAATCTCTGATATTAATGAGGAACAGGTTTGAGAGAAAAGCGGGAAGATGTGAAAAACTGTCCACTAATGCACGGTCATGTGTAAATAATAGATTTAAATCACAAATATTTTGATGTTTTTTCATCTTTTATTTCGTGTCAAATATTGTCTATATTAGTAAATTTATGCTTAATAAGAAGTTTTAGATCTGTTCACTGTGACTTTGTATCAGCAAATCCAGTTAATGTGAAAAGTTATCACTTAGGCACAAATTCACTTCATTTTATGTAATCTAACTAGTAAATCTACTTATAAATCCATAATATTCCTTAAATTATATGATTTTCCGGTTGTATCTTTAACAGATAAACCATTTAGTTTATATCTCAAACTAATGTAAATACCTACTTATACTAATCCTATTTTCAGATTTATCCATATAAATTATGGACACGTGAGGTTATCAATCCAATTGAACAAGGTACCTATCCAGAAATATTATATGATTCTGCATGGACTATGGATTATTTGTTAATTCCATTCAATTATTTATTTTATCACTTCTACTCATTACCCATCATAGAAACAGATAATTCTATACGTAAGTTAACTATGAGCAGAGTATAACACAATCAGTTTTTACACTGAAATTGTCATATTAAAAACCTGGAATACTTTTTTGATAGAAACTTATAAAGTTTGTTAAGGTGAAAATATATCTACAATAGAAATAATTATCTATAAAAAGATAAGATTGTGATTTTTTTAAACAGAAGCAATGGGGTTTAGAAGTTATTTGAAACGCGAAAAACTACATTGTCCAGGAGAAACGGATGTGAACTATTTTAGTTTGATTTCTTACATTCAATATCCTATTTGCATAATCTTGATGAAGTACATAAGAATAAAATATAAACAGAATATTCATTCAATGCCTTAATTCTATTTGACGAAGAAAATTTAACGTAAAACAAAAAGTTACGAACATCACTCATTTAATGTTTAGGTAATAACTTATATATTAGAAAATACTGAACAATTAGTGTCACAACCCGAAAGATTTGCCGAACTTGGTCTAATTAACTATAACTATCCTTTAAGCGGAAGTCAATATTAGAAAATGTATTAAGATATAATACTGTGATATTAAGAAAAGGTTGCATTAGAGCAAACAATTAATGAAAACCATTACAACCAAACATGAAGCAGTACGGTCATTTTAAATTATCTTAGCTACAATATATTGATGTGCTCACGCTAACATGTAATTTCATTTCTATAGTTGTAAAACATTATTTTAAATGTTAATCTTGTAATAGCTTCATATGCCAATTGCCTTGATTACCGTTCCAAACGGCGTACAATGCCCAGAAGACTATAAAAAATTGTTGTAAGTTTAATTTAGCACACCACAAATGAGCAAGTACATAATGTGAGAGATGAGTTGACGAATTAAATAATAGACTTTACTTAGGAAATATGTATGAACATGAAAAAAATCATTAACAGATTTAAGCGGGTAGACGAAATACATACATAAGCATCACATCCCTTCAATCATCCACATTCATACAAGAATGGAAATATATGTGTAAAGATCAAGGCAGATTATAACTAACATCAATAATCGATTATTTAAAGGGCTAAATAAATTTCAGCAGGCACAAACTCAACTGTGTGATTGTGGTTGCTAAGCTCTCATAAGTACCTAACGAAATAAAACAAATGCAGGTCATCTACCTCAAATCTTTGATCCCCCTCTTTCCCAAGTTAGTGGAGGGAACTATGTATATAACAGAGTTTTATTGTATGTTAGCTGTAACATGACCTTCTTTTATGACGAGTAGATGGTTTAAGATATGAACGTCTGAAATCAACTGTGTCCTACGACCGATAACATTTTATGAGTCTTATGTGTCAGGTTGTACATTCTTTACAAAGTGTATGAAAATTTTTGGTTCTGATAGTGATTATTTAATACTATTAGATGATTCGAACGTGTTTCAGAAACGTTAGTTAAAATGCATATTAATTATATGCTGATGCTAATAAATGTATAGGCCATAAACATTCATATTGATATAGTAAAGATATATGAATGTAACAGAACTCACATTAATTCAAAACCACATAAAGATTTTCGAAAACCTAAAAAAACTATTTTGTTTTAACTTTCTAGCACTTCAACTTCTACATGGGTCACGAATCTCTCTTCGACTTTATAACCCTAATATTGAAGTAGTACCGAAAGTTATAGAACAACCAACTATCTATATAACTAGATCAGTTCAAACTAAGGTGATATATAAAGAAACAGTAAATATTGAAGATGCTGAATATCTTCAAGAAGAACAAATTATAAATCAGGAAGTTGAGTAAGTAAACTGAATAATTAATTTACAAATTGTAATACCCGTTAGTCAAAGTTATAAAAATGTATTTGCATTTAGAAAATTTGTGTGATATTTTGATGTCGTATTTCTGTTCATAAAAAATAAATAAATAAATATAATTTATAATATTTAATTTGGATAAATCGTAACTAATTAATTAATTTTCAGATGGGGCTTTTGTGCATATTATGCTAATTTAATGGTGGGGTTCATGAGTCAGTTAAAGCTAGACCACCATGGAAAACCTGAAAGCACTGGACGGCCGTTTCATTTTATTGTGGAACTCCTCAGCAGTGCGCACCCACGATCCCGCCCCGCGGGATTCGAACACAGGGACCAGCCGGTCTCGCGCGCCAGCGCTTAACCTCTAGACCACTGAGCCGGCATTGAAGTTAATTTTCAACAATAAATAGCACGAGGAATATAATACACCAGTAATTTTATAAAACTGTATGAGAATTGTACAATATCAGAAGTGACTGATGTTAAGAACATAGCCTTAAGAATTTTAAATCATTTGTCTAAATATATCTCATTCGGTTCCTGATTTGGAGGTTCTCTAATCCCTCATGTTTTGTGTCATGATTGCTCAACGATGTGTAGTTCTTATTTAGCTTGAAAAAGTTACTTAGTGCCCCGTGGTTTCAAATGGTTCCCTAGTTGATGTTCGTATGTAATTCCAATTATCTACCAAGGGTAACAATAATAATAGTAGCTACAGTGATAATGGATAGGTATGGTATTGTTAGCACTAAACAGCAATCTTTCATGAAGAGGATGGAAGCGAATATAGAAATGAGGATTGCTATGACTGAATTCTGTCGGTTGTCTAATGCTGAATGCCCAATTAATAAACAAATTATTACCGAAGTGTGTACATAAGTTTTTTAGTAACACATGGTCTGTTAATCGGAAAAAGAATTCAACATATCAATAAATCATCATGATAAATTACTGATGACTACATGTATAAATCAAGCGAACGAACCGCAAATCATCGGTTAATGAAGCGACTTTGACGGTATATCAAAGAAGTAATAATTTTTCCAAAATAGGCACATAATATTTATTAATGGTTTATTTTGTAAATAGTCATTCCCGAATTAATTCCTTTTGACCTCTGACCTGTTCTAGCATATATATATATACATATATATATAGTTATTATTGTAATCCAGTTATTTACACTCATCTATGTCAATTGTTTTCTCAATGTAAAAATTCTATAACATTTTTGTTTTGTAAGCAGCTGACGAGAAACCTCGAAATATTATGAATTTATACTATTCTGCACCAATATTTGTTCTTGCTTTATCTAATAAGAAGTAGTTGTTTACTGTCGCTTTATAAACGGTTTCCATTAGAAAATGTTAGATTTCAATACGGTTATTTTTAAAATCCATTGGAGCGATTTATTGTTTTCAACTGTACATTATTTGTAGTTCTGCCTTTTAAAATTATGACAATAAAAACTAGTGTGTTTAATGAGTCATGTGTGAATATTGTTAACCGTAATATGAAACTCGAAATGTCTAGACATTACGAATGTAACCATTTTTGTCAATCATTTGAAATATTAGTTTCATGAAGTGTAAATGAGCAAGCCTACGTCGTCTGACTCAATAAATGTCTATCGACATGAAACGTATAAATATGCATAAAGTTCCTTATTATCATTATTTGTCATTATCTATATCTTAATCTTCACATCCATTATTCCCAATTCTTTGATCGTAATTACCTTGATAACGCCCTCCTTGTTACAGATTATATTCAAACAAAAATATTATTACTATTATTATTATCTCAATTGACAAGATTCAATTCTCCTACTATGCATTTTATTCACACAAAGATTTTGGCATTTTCAATTTTGCTATCATAATATTCTCGAATTATTGTGACTGAATACTTTACTGTAACTCATCCTGACCTTTATTGGATGACCAATGTAATTTGCAAATATTACAATTATATTATATATATATATATATATATATATATATATATATATATATATATATATCTTTGTGTGAATAAAATGCATAGTAGGAGAATTGAATCTTGTCAATTGAGATAATAATAATAGTAATAATATTTTTGTTTGAATATAATCTGTAACAATTGTATTCACATTTCCTCACAGATTTAGTACTTTTACAAAAACAAAATTTTCATATATATACGATTGTACAGCTTGATAATAAATTCGTTGAAAAGAGATCCCTTCGCTGAACTTCATGTTTTAACTTTAATGTTTAAATGGGAATTATCGGCAATTTTCTAACCGCCCCACCCTTTTTAAAAAAATTTTTTCAACCCCCAAAATTACAATATTTTTCATCCCGTTTCGTCCAATGAAACGGCTAGTTTTAAAATTCGTTTTAATTGGTTAGTTAGGTCTTGTCAAATTGTTATAAAACATCAGTACTTGTCGACGAAGTACATTTTAATCATCATTATGGAGGACAGTAACGTGCAGAGTACATTCGCTGTTGTTTCTCACGTAACGGAAATGGAAGAAGTCTTTTTGACAACCTTGTTTCTGGTTGCGTTCCCATCGCTTGAAGCGTTGAAGTCTGCTATCACAAATTATGAAAGATCGACTTACAGTCATTATGTAGTTCGAGATTCGCATTTGTGCAGAGATGAAAACTCGTATATTAAATTTGTATGTTGGAGACATGGTTGTATAACATCTAGCGATTCGTCACATCGGATCAGACGGAGGAGGTAATTTGATTAATGTTATTAAAATTTTTGGTCATGAAGGGCTTCCATGAACACTGAATGTCCGGCCTTCATATATTGCAAGATTATAGACGGCTATTGGACTGTTGTACGTGGGAATGTACATCACAACCACGAGTGCGACTCCCCGCGGTACCAAGGTAATTCATGGTTGCGCAGGTTAACGGAGGCAGAGTTTGAAACTGTGCGACCGCTCCTGATATCCGGTACCGCTGCATTCGACATTAAGCGTTTTGCTTACCATTCTTATGGAAAACGTTTGAGTGATCAAGATATATTCAATATGCGGTACAAAGTTTTGCATGTAGGAAATGTGGATTTGGATGAAAAGTTCAGTAACGTCGAAGAGGAAGTAGTTTCTATTAACTCCGAAGAGTTCAGGGAACGGGACATCGAATATGAAGAACAGAATGATGACAACCGTTTGTGATATATGTAATCTTGCACAACCTCACAATGATGCAGCTGCTTGGGTTTTTTGACCTTGCGAAGCACTGTTTCATAGATTTTGTGCTTACTATCAATCATCAAACGTACGACCAGTGAACTGTCCGATGTGTGACGCTATAACCAACTCATAGTTACGCCGTCGGACCGCGAGACCGAGTAAAGGCCCTTTTCAGGGCCACCTACAATTTGATTTACATTTTTTTGGTTGCATCTTTTTTTCTATGACAAAGCTCAAGTGATTAAGCACTTATTAATGCCAAATGAATTTAGATATCCCTTAGAGATTATGAATCGAAAAGCGATTATCGCTCATGTATTCGTACCTTTTTTTAAAACGTTTATGAGATATAATGGTTAAGAAATCTTAAACAAAAATTTGTCATCTAGTGAACATTAATCTAATAATTGTCGGTTTACATAATATGATTACCGTTCATGTATTAGTAACATTGTTGTAATCTATCTAATAATAGTACATTTGAGTAAATTTCAAATGAAATATTTCAATATAATGAAAATTGTAATTTTGTTGTTAGGTCAATGAATTTAGGACTACATATATTAGTGAATATAATAAGATGATTACAATGATTATGTGATTATAGCTCATAGGGAAGTAAACACAATTAAGAAAATTATCTTATTTATGAATAAAATAATGACAGTACAAAACCAGTTGAAACCATTATCATTGAAATGATTAATGTGATTAATGGTCATATAGTAGGTGTAAAAAGAAACAAGAATATCAACCGTTTCATGAATACACAATTAAGGATTTTATATTCTTGTTTTATATTAAAAGTGACCGATAATTCCCATTTAAACATTAAAGTTAAAACATGAAGTTCAGCGAAGGGATCTCTTTTCAACGAATTTATTATCAAGCTGTACAATCGTATATATATGAAAATTTTGTTTTTGTAAAAGTACTAAATCTGTGAGGAAATGTGAATACAATTAACCATGACGTAATAAAAGGTTATAATACTAGATTACATAATACGAATAATAACAATAGATTTAGTGAATACAACAAGATGATTAAAATGTTTTTTTGTCATAATAATTAAAGGTCATAGAGGTGTAAAAAATAAATAAGATGATATGATGAGCATTTCCGAATAAAACAATGAGAATATAAGACATAAGTAAAGGGGGGAATGCAATAATAATAATAATAATAATAATAATAATAATAATAATAATAGGATAATCAAAATAATTAAGGCCAAGGTAACGATAAGACGTACTTCTTTTGTACACATCGTTTAAAAGTACCTGAAACCAGAACTATGCGTACGTAAGAAGTACGTCTGATCGTAAACTAAGCCTTCATTGTTATTCATATATACTGATTGTATCACCGTATTCATTTTCACACCTCTTTAACTATTAATTACTGCTACAATCACATTGTACCAGTTAAATATTCCCTTAAAATATTCAAAAATGAAAAATAAATTAGCGAACAATCGTTTTCAATAACTTCATCATCACACTATACAGTTATAAATTCATAATTTTAATATTTTATGAAGACCAAAAAGAAGGCATGACATTAATGAATTTGTCAATGTAATGTGTTAACAATGGTGAACGTTTGCATCTGTTACGAGATATACATATTGTTATATATATATATATATATATATATATATATATATATATATATATATATATATATATATATATATATATATATATATATAATATTGTAATATAATTGTAATATTTGCAAATTACATTGGTCATCCAATAAAGGTCAGGATGATTTACAG